CCCCCCCCCCCCGTGTCACATTCTGTGACCTTGACTTCCGTGATAGGAAGCCCAACCTTGTGCCTAGCTGCGCACTTGCGTCCCCACTAGCCGAGGAAGCCCTGTCCTGGCTGGGGCCTTCACCCTGGGCCTGCAGGCCGTCTTGTTCTCCTGGTGCCCGGTCTGCCATGGCCGTGCGGGCCAGCAGCCCACAGTGGTGGGGGCCAAACTGGGAGGAGACAAAGGTGGTGGCCTGGACACCAGGTGAAGGTGGTTGCTTCATCGAGGTGAGACATGTCGGTGACTTAGGTGAGGGTGATGGCAGGGAGGGAGACAGACGTGGGTCTGCGATGGGACACCTAGGGAGTGACAGTGGAGGGGAGAAGGGAGGCGAGAAACATACCGAACACAGGCTCTTCCCAGAGTGCTTACCGGCTCCTCTTAGCCTCCATGTCGGTGTCGAAAGCCAGCTCCTCCTCTAAGTCCCGTTCAAAGGCCACTTTCTGGGAGCCTTCCCTGACTTCTTCGTCTGAACTTCCGAGCTCCCACTCTCGCCATACTGCCCACAGCCTGTTTAGAGAGACCGGCCTCCCCTGCTGGGAGTCAGGCTCACTTCCGCCACTGCCAGCTGAGTACAGGGCAGGAGAGGGCAAGGGCTGGCATCTGTCGGCGTTCGGCTCTGCCTCCCTGTACCCCAGGTGTGGTCCGTGGGTAGAGCCCCTCGACCTCTGCCCGGCCCCTCCGGTCAGTGAGGAGCGGCAGGGTAGGTGTCGCTGGAGACTGCGGCTCTGGTCCCTATTCTGTTCCTTGCTGGTGTGACCTTGGTCATGTCCCTTTTTTTTTTTTTTATTTTTTTTTGCCTCTGCAGCCTCTTTTCCCACAGATCAAAAACCAAGTGAGTCCTACATGTAGAAACTGCTACAACCAAAAGGTTTGGCCGGTTTTTGCCTCATACCCCTCCTGAGGGATGACCGAGCACTGTGGCTATCTTGTGAACTTGAGGCAACCTAAGAACAAGCCACTGGCTGAAAACATCCCTCTTAAAAGAGCAGTTTATGTCTCCTCCGCCCAGGTTTCCAGAGCCCAGTGCGCAGTAGGTCAAGAAATACCAAGATGTGGACATTTCTCCCACCTCTCTCATTAAACCCTCTCCCCAGTAGGTTTCTAGTTCAAAATGAATTCTGAGCACTTCCTAGAGGGATGCAGGGATGTGTTTCCCTCTTTTTGCTCCGTTGACTCCATCTCCCTTCTCTTGAGCAGGTGGCTGGGGCCTACCCCTGCCTGGTGCATTCTTTACAGGCTGCTACGGCAACGCCTGTAAAGGCTGATACCATGGTCTCTGACCGCCGGGCTTTTGGGGCTAAGTCCTGGGCTGCAGCACTGAATCTTCCTTGGCCCCCTTCTTCCCTACTAGGGTATCACCCCGCTGCAGGTCGTTATGCCCAACACTGCCCTTCATCTTAAGGCACTGCTGGATTTTGAGGATAAGAATGGAGACAAGGTGATAGCAGGAGACGAGTGGCTCTTTGAAGGCCCAGGTAAGTTCTGTCCGTCAGGCCCAGAGGCTTCCTACCCTGGCCCGATGGCCTCTGCTGGCCTCTGCCTCATCTCCCTCATCTCCCTCCCTCCTCAGGCACATACATCCCCCAGAAGGAGGTGGAGGTCGTGCAGATCATCCAGGCCACGATCATCAGGCAGAACCAGGCCCTGCGGCTCAGGGCCCGGAAGGAGTGCCTGGACCGGGACGGGAAGGAGCGGGTGACAGGTGGGGTGCAGAGGGAGGGGCTGTGAGGGGGGTCGGGGGAAGGCCAGGGTGGGCACAAGTTCCAGCCTCGCCCTTCCTGGCCATAAACCCAGGCCAGTCCCCTAACTGCATTTTATCATAGGAAACGGGGAATAATGCCTCAAGGGTGTTGCCTTTTAGCCTGGGAGGTGTCCCCGGTGCCTCTCATGAGCTGCCTTCCCCAGCCCTGGCCCTGGCCGCCAGCAGCAAGATCTGTGGACACACTGTTCCCTCCCTGACCTTTACCCTGAGCAGGGGCAGCAAGGTGTCTGGTGTGTTCACGCACCATTAGCCCCTGGGCCTGACAGATTGTGCTGAGCAGTGTCTTAACAAGCAGGGCTTCCTCTGTGCCAGGTATGTTTACTAGGAGCGAATTAGCCCTCAGACACCTTTGAGGCGTTGTTCCCACTTTCCTATGATAAAATGGAGTTGGGGGACTGGCCTGGTTTATGGCCAGGAAGGGCGAGGCTGGGACCTGTGCCCAGCTACTGCTTCTCCAGTGAACCGCACAGCTTCACTGTTAACGGGGCAGTTCCGCTGCCCACTGCAGAGGAAGGACGTCACTGCAGAGCTGAGGCACGGCCAGGGCGCCTGCGTAGAGCAGCTTGAGCCAGGCCCGGGGTAGTTTTCCTCCTGCCCCAGGAAAGGAATGACTGCAAGGACTTGGGCCTGGCCCCTGAGCCTGGGGGGTTGTGGCATTTCTCGGCCTTCTAGTCTGGGGTCACCCTGCTGTCTTGGCTGTGGGAAGGGGCGGCTGCTGCAGGGTGGGCTGGGTGACCTTTGACCCTGACCCCTCCTTTGTTCCAGGAGAGGAATGGCTGGTGCGCAAGGTGGGCGCTTACCTCCCAGCAGTGTTTGAGGAGGTCCTGGACTTGGTGGACGCTGTGATCCTTACGGAAAAGGTTTGTGGGTTAAGGGAGCTTGTGGGGGGAGGGGAACACGCAGGGCAGAGAGTGGTGGCAGAGCGCGCACAACAGAACAGCAGTTCTCAGGCCAAGAAAATGAATTCAGATCCATCGCTTGGGCTTTCTGGGGTATCCAAGAGGGTTAAAAAGTTCTCCTGCGTTGGTGGAACATCTCCCCCAAACCCAGGAGCCTCAGTGGCCAGTGGGGCGCCCACAGCCCCTGAGGAAGCCAGACGTCGGTGGACTCGAGCACCCCGCCATCTTGTTCTGCAGACGGCCCTGCACCTGCGAGCTCGGCAGAACTTCCGAGACCTGAGGGGCGTGACCCGCCGCACGGGGGAGGAGTGGCTGGTGACCGTGCAGGACACGGAGGCCCACGTGCCGGATGTCTACGAGGAGGTGCTGGGGATTGTGCCCATCACCACCTTGGGCCCCCACAACTACTGTGTGATTCTGGACCCCCTGGGACCGGATGGCAAGAACCAGCTGGGGCAAAAGCGAGTGGTCAAGGTAAATCCTGCTCCCCAGAGGGGCGCCCCTAGCGGCACGGGCCCCCTCCTGCCCCCTTCTCTCCTCCCATGCTCCAGAAACACCTTTGTTACTACTCCCTGTGCTGTTGCGCTCCCTGGCAACCTGGCCCAAGGTCACTCACTGTTTGCTCTGGGATCGTTCCCAGCCCCACCTGCTACCTGGAGAGATTCTCCTGTTGTGCCTTCCCCTGTTCTGCAAACCTTGTCATCCCTTATGTAACAAATCTCTTGATGTACCCTGCTCTCCAGTCCCTCTGAACTGTGTATGAGGCCACCAGAGGTGGACACACTTTTCTCCAGAGGGCCAGATCCCAGGGACTTTAGGTGCTGTGAGCTGTTTGGTTTCTGTTGCAACTACAAGTCTGAGGGAGCGTCACAGCTTGTCCCAAGGAGCGCTGTGGTCTTTGCAGTAACAGGAAGTGGAAAAGTGTGTGGTTGAATAAGTAAGATTGTAGTACATCAAGGTTAAGAGAGCTAGAGGAGTGAGAAGAGGTCAAGGTGGGGATCTGAAGAATGTTAATGGGGGAAACATTCAGAGAGTCTCTGCTAAGAGACAGAGCCAGAGTACTGGGCATCGTGTGATAATGGGGCAAGATTCAGAGCTCAGAGCGATGTTCAAAATAACAAAACCCAATGCATAAAACAAGATTGTGTGAATCCATACAGTGAAACATTGTTTTCTATAAAACAATAGCTGCAACGCTGGAGTGAGTAAACTTCAACACTGCTCTTAGCAAGAGAAGCCAGACATCCAAGGTCACACATTATACCGATCTTTTGTATGAAATGTCCAGAATTGGTACATCCTGAACAGAAAATAGACTGGCCGTTTGGTGGAGGGTGAGTGGGCATGGGGTTTGCTTTCAGGGCGATGCGAATGTTCTGGAATTCAATAGTACTGGTTGGACAACTCGATGTACCAAAGCAACTGAATTGTACCTGTTAGATGGGTACATTTTATGGTAGGTGGATTACAGCCCAAATACTTTTTTAAAACTCCAGTCCAAGACCAGATTTTGCCACATCAGGACTTAACTGTCCCTAGGAAACAGTGAGAGCAAAGCAAGGAGCAATGGCTGATTAATTCTTAACTGTTGGCATTGTGAGGGCCCCACCCTGACTGTCCGGGTTGTCTCGAGGGCAGCTCTGGTGAGCTGAGGCCTGCAGACGGTGCTGGGGAGCTCCCAGCCCAGGCAACAGCACACTTTGTGTAATGTGGGGGTGAGGAGCTGCTCTCTGGGCTCCCAGCTGGGCAGCAGTCCTCCTAACCCCATCTCCCTTGCAGGGAGAGAAGTCCTTTTTCCTCCAGCCGGGCGAGACGCTGGAACGGGGCATCCAGGACGTGTACGTGCTGTCGGAGCAGCAGGGACTGTTGCTGCGGGCCCTGCAGCCTCTGCAGGAGGGTGACGGCGAGGACAGGGTCTCCCGCCAGGCCGGGGACTGCTGGCTCATCCGAGGGCCCCTGGAGTACGTGCCGTCCGCCAAGGTGGAGGTGGTAGAAGAGCGCCAGGCCATCCCGCTGGACGAGAATGAGGGCATCTATGTGCAGGACATCAAGACAGGAAAGGTAAAGGCGGGTGGGTGCTGCTGGGAGGAGGCTGTGGTGGAAGCAGGGAGAGGACTGAGCAGCCACAGCAACGTCTCAGACTGGCCTTCCCGGAGCAGCGGTCTTCCCTTTGTCCGAACTGTGGGGCTTCAAATTTTAGAAACCCCCTAGCAAGATGAGCCAGACGGGGGGGGGGGGCAAGGGGGGCAGATGTGCCCCGTCCATAAGTCTTACAGGGGTATGGCGCAGGAAGGAGCCAACCTCTTCCTCCCCGCAGCCCCCGCCCAGGGCCACACCCTGCTGGAATCTTTAGCTGGACCCTGTACCTTGACTGGACCTGGGATCACATCTCCAACCTCTCTAAGAATCCAGCCTAGAAGTAGAGCTCAGAATCCTAGGAACTACATGCTGTCATTCCCTGGGGTTGCGTCTGCCCCAGGGATGCCCTCAAGCTGCCCATGAAAGAAAATTCCACAAGAAATAATATCCAGGCAGGCTGCCATGTTCATCCCCAGCTGTGAAGCCGCCCAGTGAGATGCCACCCATTCCTGCTGCAGGAGGGGCGCTCTGGCTACTTGCAGATAGGGACTGAAGCCAGGGTGAAACAGCTCACCCACCCCAGGGCAGAGCCAGCAGGCCGTGCAGCTGAGTGCAGCCTGTTCCAGAACCCCCCACTGGGGTGCTGCGCGGGTCTCCCTCTTACCCTCCTGGTGATGTCACCTGCCCTCCTCAAGGTGCGTGCTGTGATCGGAAGCACCTACATGCTGACCCAGGATGAAGTCCTGTGGGAAAAAGAGCTGCCTCCCGGGGTGGAGATGCTGCTGAACAAGGGGCAGGACCCCCTGGCAGACCGGGGTGAGATGAACATAGGCAAGACCTTCCCGCCCCCCGCCCCTCGGGACAAGACCCGCGTGGTCAGCTACCGCGTCCCTCACAACACCGCGGTGCAGGTGTACGACTACAGGGCCAAGAAAGCTCGGTGAGGGGCCTGCCAGCGCTGGGGGTGGTCGGGCTGCGGGCACGGGGGCACGCCAGGCGTCTCACTCCCCGCCCTCTGCAGCGTGGTCTTTGGGCCTGAGCTGGTGTCCCTGGGACCTGAGGAGCAGTTCACGGTGCTGTCCCTCTCGGCTGGGCGGCCCAAGCGCCCCCACGCCCGCCGCGCACTCTGCCTGCTGCTCGGGCCTGACTTCTTCACAGATGTCATCACCATCGAAACCGCAGACCACGCCAGGCTGCAGCTGCAACTGGCCTACAACTGGTGAGCAGGGTGGGGAGGGACCGAGGGCTCCTGGGGTGCAGCCCCCCTCCTCCCAGGAGGAGCTGAGGGCTGGGCTCCCGCAGGCAGAGCGCCGGCAGAGGGCAGCGAAGCCCCAGGGGTTCGTGCAGACGACAGTGGGGATCATTTCTGGGAGCAGTGGGAATGACACCCATCGACTTCACAGGCGCCGAAGGGTGCATGAGAGCTGCAGGGTCCTACACCCAGTTAAGGTCAAGTGTTAGTTAGGGGTCATTTCACGCAGGAGCAGCGCTGGACAACTCCCAAGTCACCTATGCCCACCTCTTGCTGGAGAGGCCAGGAATGAAGGTGCTCAGGGCACTGACATCTCCAGAGCGCTGACGCGTGAGGGGCACAGGCCCTGAGCCGCGCCGCCTCCTTGCCCCCCGTAGTGTGACTTTGGGCCTGTCCCAACCGCTCTGCTCCTGCTTCTTCCTGGCACATTGGGGATGGGCCCCTCTCCACGCTGGGTGGCCGAGAATGGAGTGGGAACGCGTGTGAGTCGCTTAGGCCCTCGCCTGGCGCCAGGCGGGCACCTTCTACCTGAGGGCCCTCCCAGCCATGGAGGGAGGTGGAGCGTCCTTTCCAAAGGTGAGAGGGTTAGTTTCCTGGAAGCAAACGGCTTCATTATTCTGGGCCTCTGTCCACAGGCACTTTGCCCTGAGTGATCAGAAGGACCCCCAAGAGGCAGCCAAGATCTTTGCGGTGCCTGACTTCGTGGGGGACGCCTGCAAGGCCATTGCTTCCCGGGTGCGGGGGGCTGTGGCTTCCGTCACCTTCGATGACTTCCACAAGAACTCTGCCCGCATCATTCGCACTGCCGTCTTCGGCTTCGAGACCCAGGAGAGCAAGGGCCCCGGCAGCCTCGCCCTGCCCCAGCCCCGGGATCGGGCCGTCTTCCCCCAGAACGGACTGGTGGTCAGCAGCGTGGATGTGCAGTCCGTGGAGCCGGTGGACCAGAGGACCCGGGACGCCCTGCAGCGCAGCGTCCAGCTGGCCATCGAGATCACCACCAACTCGCAGGAGGCAGCCGCCAAGTGAGTGAGGCGGGGCCGCTGCTCAGTGCCCGCGGCGGGCCAGCCCCTCCCCAGCCCGCTGCTGGGATTTGGAGAACATGGCACCGCCTCCCCTTAGCGGTCAACCCGCCCGGCTCCTCCCCAGCAGCAGCCGGGCCCCCAGCACACAACTTGACACCGCCTCTGCTGCCGTGGCCCCTCGCCCTGCCCGCACGTCAGCCGGACATGCTTCTGTGGCCTTCGGGCCCAGCCTGTCACCCCACCTCCCCTTCCAGCTTCTCCCGCGCTCCTGTGCTCCAGGCCCACCAGCTCCCTTCTGTCCGCAGATGCACAGCTGGGTTCCCACCTCTAGACCTGCCTGGCTGTTCCTCTGCTCGGTGCTTAGGCCCCTTTGTGGCCTCGGCCTCCCCCCCAGAGAGCCTTGTCTTGCTACCCTGGGTGGTGCCCCCGCCCCATTGTCAGTGCATCACCTGTTCTCAGAGCTTGTGGCTGAATGAGATCCTCTCACTGGGAGGAGCTTGGTCACTGTGGCCATTCCTGTGGTCACAGACCGCCCCTGGCTCACACGCACATGATTCTCTCACTGGCACCACCCAGAGGCCAGAATGTGTGCTGGGCGCCCAACAGATGGCCCCCACCCCTGAGCTCCGTCAGTCCTGGTGCCACGCCCGCCTCTGACCTGCCTCCTCCCCACCCAGACATGAGGCCCAGAGACTGGAGCAAGAAGCCCGAGGCCGGCTGGAAAGGCAGAAGATCTTGGACCAATCGGAAGCTGAAAAAGCGCGCAGGGAACTCTTGGAGCTGGAGGCTCTGAGGTGGGTCAAGATCCAGGAGAAAAGATGGAGCGGGGCGGGGGGAAGCCGCCAGTGGGGCTGGGGGTGTGCACGCACCAGCAGCTGCTCAGCCTAAGCCGAGGGCTGCCCCCCTGACTGCGCCTGTGTCCCCAGCACTGCTGTGGAGAGCACCGGGGCAGCCAAGGCAGAGGCCGAGTCCCGCGCAGAGGCCGCACGCATCGAAGGGGAGGGCTCCGTGCTGCAGGCCAAGCTGAAAGCCGAGGCCCTGGCCATCGAGACGGTGAGTGGGGGAGACACCAAGTGCGGGAGACGCCCGTGGTAGGGTGTGGGTGCAGCCCTGGAGTGGAGATAGGTACCGAGCAAGCCCTCTGTGGCTTACAGGCACTGCTTACAAGGCAGGGGGTGTGCAGCCCACTCAGATAAACACCCACCGTGGCCAGGTGGGGCCGGGCGACACGCGTTACACGCATGATCTTAATACTCAAAATCCCATTAAGGTGGGAATTCTCTTCCACACCAAAGGGACTGAGGCTGGGGTAAAGGCCCCCTTGCTGAGAGGTGAAGCACACAGGAGTCATCCCTTCCGCCTCAGCCCGCTCTGGCTTGCTAGGTGACCTAGTGGACAAGGGCCTCACAACTGACAGCACACGGGTTTTTCTCCTTCCAGGAGGCTGAGCTCCAGCGGGTGGAGAAAGTGCGGCAGCTAGAACTGGCCTATGCCCGATCCCAGCTGGACCTGGAGGTGCTCAAGGCCCAGGAGCTGGCAGAGGTGGAAGTGAAGAAGTTCAAGCAGATGACGGAGGCCCTGGGCCCCAGCACCATCAGGGACCTTGCGATGGCCGGGCCGGAGATGCAGGTGAGGGCCGGGCAAGTGTGTGCACGTGCAGGGACGTGCAGGGGCCCAGGGAGCCTCTCTACAGATGCTGAGATGTCACGGTGAAAAGTTTCAGCCGGACTGGCCCTGTGTCCCACAACCTGGCAGGTAGATCTTGAGCCTGGTGTCCCATCAGGCACTTTCCTAGGCTCGGCAGGGAGTGGGAGCTCCCAGTGGAGGTAGACACATGGGACACAGGTCTGTGACAGTGCAGGGGTGCACTAGCTGGCTTGGGAGGGCCTGGCTGAGGAGGGGCTGCGCGAGGACAGGACCTGCCAGGAGGTGGCCCGAGGTCAGACATCAAAATGTGCATGTAAGGACCAGAAGTGGCGGCTGCAGCCTGGAGGCGAAGGGTGGGAAGGCGGCTCCGGGGCAGTGGCAGGCAGGACCCACGCACAGAGTGGATGACAGCCTGAGGGTGGTTAGCTCCTCCCCTATCACTGACTACCCGGATGAGGTTGGCTTGGGCCGCAGCAGCAGCTATGTCGGCCGCCAGGTGGTGGCTCAGCAGAGAAGGGGCCGAGGGGGCACCAGGACCTGACCTGACCGCTGCTCCTCCTGCTCCCCCAGGTCAAACTGCTCCAGAGCCTGGGCCTGAAGTCAACCCTCATCACCGATGGCTCCACTCCCATCAACCTATTCAACACGGCCTTTGGTCTACTCGGGCTAGGGTCTGAGGCCCCGCTCCCAACGAAAAAGGCAGCTCTGGGACTCAGCTCCCAAGAAGGCTTGATTCTCCAGACCCCCGCTGCCCCTCAGGCGCCTGGAAGCAACTAAGTCATGCCTTAGTTCTTTTCTGCACTGACCAATAAAACCAACACTTTTGGGCATTTAAATCCTTTTGTGTTACCTTAAGTCTACATCACAGGCAACCCTAACTGTGGGTGGGGGGAGGGTATGGGAAGCCCTGAGATAATGAGACAGTTACTGCTAGTTCCCAGACCGTGGAGAGGCACCGAGGCCCCTGAGGCAAGCCAAGCACGTCCTCCCGAGGTCTTGCCAGCCAGACTCTCCTTTCGGTGATCTGCTTTGCTAGACCCCAGGCAGCGGGGAGGGTGGGGCCTGCTTGGTCAGCCCCTCTGGGATGGCCTCCTGGACGTCCCCCTACCCCCCACACCTCCCTGCCCAGCACTTGGGAGGCGCCCTCTGGTGCCACCTGCTGGCTGCACGGCAAACCTGGTGCCCATGCTAGTTCCTTCTCAGCTGGGAATGCCAAAGGACGCAGGGGTGGTAGGAACTGGAGTGCCTCCCTGGGCTTCTGGTAGGGCTCTCCTGGAGCATGCAGAGAGAGGGGGTCCTTCCCAACCTCCCCCACAGCCAGGGAGGAACCAGGCAGGCGCCATCAGCCGGGCACACAAGAGGCGGCTGCTAGCTATACCAGCCCTTCTGCCCACGAGCGCAAGGGCTGCCCGGCCTGCCTGGTCTCTGCCGAAGAAGTTAAAGTTCCTGGGGGGAGGAAACATTTGGACTTGTGGTTTAAAAGGCAACTTGACTCTGATTATTTTCTTTGTGAAACGGGCCAGCAGTTCCCCTACTGAGCTATTTTCGTCTTATTCCTTCCCCCTGTTGGGTCTGGTCCCATCCCTGTCGCTTCCCAAGATGAATCGCATTTGTGTGCCAGCAGCTCCACTCAAGTCGGAGCTTGTAGAGGCCAGGAGCTGCCCGGTCAGCGCACAGCAGCTGCCCGGTCAGCCCACAGCAGCACCGTGGCGCACCTGCTGATGGACTAACTCCCCCGCCCCCACCAAGTCCTACATCCTCCCTCAGGGGCAATTAACCTGGTACCCTCACCTGGTACCCAGCAAGAGAGTGCTGTGCGGCACCGTTGACTGCCAAGGCCTCAGTGCTCTGTGTGGGTACAGCCGGACTCCCAGGGCTGTCCCTTGTCATTCCTAGTGGCCAGGCCCCCTCTGAACCCCAGCTCCTATCTCACCATTCCTCCAGTCCCAGCCTCCAATGATCTTGACCGCAACCACTTTCATGATACCCCTCCTCCTTTCATTTCTCGCCAGTTTAGCTTTTGTCTATGTAATTCATCGTTGGAAACCTCCCTAAACACTCCCATCCTGTCCCATATAACAGCAGAAAGCCCCATCCCTTCCCGTCTCAACCCCACCTCTCCCCCTCCCCCCAGTGACTGGGCCTGGGCATTGCTGGAGAAGCCCCACACACACATGCTGGCTGATCACGCTTTAGCTTATGGCAACACATTTCAAGGAAGACCTAAGACCTCTCACGGCAAGAAATCCCCTGCAGAACAACTTCTCACCGCCTCTTCCTCTCCCACAGGGCTGCCTACTTTCTCTCACCTCTTTGAGAAAATAGAAGCAAATCGGGCAGGAAGCCCCTCCCCTCCCCAGCAGCAATCTAACACCACAGCATCTGGCCTCAGCATCCCCTTGCTTAGGCGAAAGCTTCCCAGGAGTCCAGCTCTTTCCCTAGGCCGAGCCACTCCTCCCCCAAACACCCCCCAACCTCCTCCCTGCTGCTGTCTAGGGGGTCACTGCTGTCCACACCTGCTCCTCGGCTCCCAGTGAGCTCATCTGACCCCTCACAGTGCTGCTCCCTGGCTGCTTTCCCTTCCCAGCCACCGTTGTTTCCTCCCTCATCATCACCTCAGGCCCCTCCGATCAGCTTCCAACCTGGCTTCATGGAAATGAGTAACCGGCCATCACCCATGGGGATCCTGTCTCTGGACCCAGCGCAGCCCCTCAGCGTGAGGGCCCGTGCTGTCCTCCACACTGGGCCTTCATGTTACCACCAACTCCATCTTCCTTCCCACCTTGTCTAGCACCGGGAGCTCCTCAGTTCCTTTGGCCAACTCCACGTCCTCAGCTCCGCCGCTACATGGTGGCCTGCCCTGGGCCCTGCTCTCTTGCTCAGCTACATTCTCTGGACCACTGGCTCCAAAATCCTACTCCACCCCAGACCTCACCCTTTTCAGCGATCTTGATGTCTCCATGTGGGCCTCTGAAGGCCCCTGGACTTGCTCTGACCCATGAAATGCAATGGGAGAGCACCATCTCTCCATCCCACTTCTGCAGTGACCGGAAATCCCTCAGACTGGCTGTGGGTCAGCCTGGGCCCCAGAGAGGGAAGACACGAAGCAGATACAGTTGACACCCTCAAACACGCAGAGCGAGAAATAAACATTTGCCGTGGTAACTGAGGAAAGGGGTGAGGATTGGCCCCCATAACCCAGTCCATCCTGACCATGACACGGACCTCACAAGGTTGCAAATCTAACAGTATCGAGGGAAGCTGCTCTCTGAACCACAGGGAGGACAACAGCCCAGCACACGGGGTGTGCGTCCCTCAGTGAGAGGACAGCTCGCCTTGCAGGGAAAACAGAATTTCCTCCCACGCCAGGGCCAGATTGTCAGTCCCTTGGCATCAAAGCTACCCGTTCAGTCCCTGAAATTGCCCATAAACTACAGAGCAGTGTGATTTCTCATGAAGTTCTACCCAGCCTGATTTTCTTAGCACTGGAGCAAGTGGCTTGAATTTGGTTCAGCTGGGTTGAAAGCCAGATAATTGGTTTTAAGTCCTCATGTGTGTGAAAAATCTGAGTCTTTAGACAGCAAAGTCATATTGAGCATGGTAAGACACGGGTGATCTGTTGGTCTCCCTCCTAGGCCACTAATTATTCCCCAAACTCCCTGAGGTGCGCGTGGCTCCCAGGGTGCCACTTCCCCACCTTCCCACAAAGCAGCCTCCTGCTATCCTCCAAGCACACCTCTGCCTGGAGGGTGAAGGCGTGCAGGGCACTCGAGGCCCACGTGTGGAAGACGGTGAAGCCACGAGCCCAGGAGAGCCCGCGAGCCTGCATCTCCCGATCAGGAGCACCTGGTAGGACAAGCCAGGAGTTAGAAATCAACTTCTGGCACGCTTGAGTCACTCTGACTTGAGTTTTGTCGCAGCAGTGAGGGTTACCTCGAATCAGTCTGAGACTTCAGGAAACACTCAAGACCTCCTGAGGGAATAGCCTGACCTCCCAGAGTTCCCACTAAGGGGACTAAGTGGGACAAGCAGACGCAAGTCTTACGGGGTGGTTACTCATTCAGTCTAAAAGCAGGGCTGAGGCCCAGAAAGTTAGCACTGCACAGGCTGCAGGCCTCTGGGGTTGTTGTAGTAAAACGCTGGGAAGAGTATTAACAACAAAATTTACTTCTCCCAGGCCCAGAGGCTGAGTCTGAGATCAAGGCGCCAGTATGGTATTCTGGTGAGGACACCCCCTGCCTGGGTCATCGCCCTCAGCTTTAAGTGCCCTCACCTGAGGGAAGGGGGATGAGAGTTCCGTGGGGTCTCTTGTGAGGAGACCCCCTCCATGAGCCCCACCTCCAAACATGAACACACTGGGCACTGGGTTTCAACGCAAGAAGTTTGCAGGGACACAAACATTCAGACCACAGGAACCTGGAGTGCGACAAGAGTCTACTGCCCCGAGCACAGACTCTGCGACTCAGTTCAGCTCAGGCTTTTCCCTACCTGAAGTCAGACGAAAGGCCCAGGGCTAACCTGCAGGCCCCATAGGGCCAGTGGGCTCCATGGTCTCCTGAGCGGAAGTTGCTCACTCTCTCCAGCCCTTCTTTATTTACATCACCTGGAGCTGGGTTTACATCAATTAAAGACTCCTGATGTTACTGTGAATGATGAGAACCAAGGAGTCAGCTGGGGTTGAGGAGCTCCAGTGAGTGGCCAGGAGGGCTCATTTGCCTGAGGGGAAAGCTGATTCATGGGCAGAGGGGTGAGGAAGGAAAAGGCCTTGGAGGAGCTGGGAGGGTAGCTTGCTGGGGAGGGGCGACTCAGCGTTGTATCAGTTTTCCTCAAGTCCAAGTTTGTCCCTGCCCTTCAAAGTTCACCCTTCCAGTAGCCCCAGTGACTTATTCAGCAAGGTTCACAGAGGTAGGGCCTAATAAAGTAAATAATAGAATTCTAAACCACCGTTAAGACGCCGCCTATGTGGACAGCTGTGTCTGGAGAACATTAAGGCTTTAGGGCCTGGAGCCAAGCCAGCCAGGTTGGCCTGCTCTCAGGACCTCGATTTCCACTCTGGAAGACATATGCTGTAAAGGGGACTGTCATATTGTTTAGTACACAGTAGGATGCTGGTGTGAGGTGAAATGAGGTAGCCCCCCCCCCCAAAAAAGTGGTAGCTTGTGTTAGCAAAGCGCACATACATAAAACGAAAGATATGCATAGTCCTGACAACCTTATTTTCAGACACAAGCAATGTGCAGCAGTGGCTGCCTTGGGGAGAACTGAGCCGGAGGCGGCTGGAGACTGTCATCTATTTGTAATGTGCACAACTGAGTTTATTTTGTCATGTGAATTTCGCACCTATTATTTTGAAGATTCCTTCAGTAGCTCAGAGTGGCCAAAGGACAAAGGCCAAAGATCCCCCAGGACTCCTCAGGCCAGCGGCTTCGCCTCATCTCACCAGCTCTCCAGCACACAGTGTTCCAGCCACATCGATCTATTTCTATTTTCATTTCTGAAAATGCCCAGCGCACTCTGGCCTCCTCCACTCCCTCGGCTGAGAATTCATCCTCTCCTCTGCCCGCTCCATCTCTGCCAGCTTCCTACCTACCGCCTCTTGCAGGTGATGGGGCAGGGATGGGAGGTTCTTGTAAGTTTCTCAACAAGAATCTCCCTGCCCCATCACCTGCAAGAGGGCTGGGAAGCCCCTGCCCTGTGCCTGGGGCTGGCACAGGAGTGGAGGCCCAAAGCTCAGCAGCCTTCCGGACACAAGGCCCTCCAGGCTAAGCTATGACGACAAAGAGTAACCTCTGTCACGAAGGTCCAGCATAGAATCTGGCATATGGTAGGTCCAAGATAGTTTTAAAAAGAAAGCTGGTGTCAGAGAACGCTAGATGGCAGGGAGCCCAGAATGTTTAGTACAGGGGTGCTCCGAAGATGGTAAGAAAGGACATTCATTCTCAATGGGGAGAAATCAATCAGTTGGCATTTATTAAGACGGCACATTTCTGGGGCGCTCTCTAGTGGCGCAACGAGTTAAAGCACAGCACTAGGACCTGTCCACAGCCCCTGCAGCACCAGTTCGATTCCCCAGCAGGGCTGCTGACCCACATGGCGCAGCAGCTCTCCTGACCTGCCTGCTGCTCCCCTCAGATGTGTGTTTCAGTCCATCTGCCTGTTCTGCTCCCCACTGTCTCTGGTGAATCCTGTCACCCCCCACACCTCTGGCCTGCACCCCAAGTCTGTATGAATAAATAAATCAACCTTAAAAAAGACTGTACATTTCTGAGCTGATCCAGCAGGGTGACAGCACATCAGCCAAGAAGCTGTATTTTTAAAAAACATTCCACAGGGACGCTAATGGCTGCACTTTGAGAAACAAACGGATCTAATTGTGAACATTTATTAAGCAGCTACCAGGTTAAAGTTACTCTTCATTGCAGGGCTACAGAAGGAATAAATGTCTGTGCCCTTGTGAAATTTAGTCTTGTGGGGATAGAAAATATCAACTATATAAATACATGTGGACAGCTAGTGACAGGATTGAGCAGAACATGAAGCAGGTATCCAGCTTGGTGGCTGAGAGGCCTCTGAGGGATGATGGGAGGAGCCCATCGGTACACTGGGAAGTAAGTATCCAGTTGGATCTTTCTTTCCCTAAGTCCCCCTTCACCTAGGCCCTGGCCCAAGAGTTTCTCAAAGGAAACCAAGTGCAGGAGAGTGAAGCCCAGGTTTTATTGAGCCAAGACAGAAAGGAGATGGCAATGGGGAAGGATCTAGACGGCCCCTTTGCTCCCAGGTATGGCACCCAGGCTTCCTCTGGCCAGGGACAGATATCCCCTCCTTTTGGGAAACTGGCCCACCCCACCTCCTTTACCCAAGCATCTTAAAGTCTTGGGCCAAACCAGACTCCAAGATTGAGTCAGCGGTGACAGTGCCCAGTTCTCAGGCCTCCTGGCACCTCCGGAGCTCTGCTCGCATGGCAGGGCCACCGAGCAGCCTTCCTGATCTGAAGTCCAGGTCCCCCAGGATCACAGGGTGGAATTGGTCCTTAGGATCATGGAAAACATGACATCACTGAGGAGCTGACCTCTTCCCAACAGGCTGGACAACACAGTAGGAAGATGTGGGCCTGGGCACTCCCAGAGGGAGAGGGGAGCCACGTGGCTAGGCCAGACTCCCAGGGCAGGCGGGCCCCAGGGGCGCAGGTTCCCGGGTCACTTCTTCCTGCTACGATCTGCTGCATCCAGGGCAGCCATGTTGCGGGCGGCTGTGATCAGGTGGATGACGCTGATGAGGGACTTGAGCAAGGCAATGGGTGCGGTGATCCAGAGGCCCATTCGGAAAAGACCCATGGAACCAACTGCGGGGCGGAAGCAGGGATGGACATAGGAAAATGGGATGCGGGTGGGAGGGGCTGGAACCCACGGCCTTCCTCCCCGGGGCTGGCCTGCACCGCCCGTCCTCTCATCTAGTCCCTCACCACCTACCTAAAGGTCCCTCGGAGAAATTGAACAGGTAGAGGAGGCAGTAGAAGAGCTCATTTCCGGCACACAGGGTAAAGAGAGCAGGCTGCACAAACAGCAAAACCGACCCCTTAGGTAAGAAGCTGGGCAATGCCCCCACGTAACACCCTTCGCCCCCAAGGGACAGGTGCCAGAACCTCTGAGGACAGGTAACAGGGGACAATTATACTGGGTCAACAGGGGTGTGTTGAGAGCAAGGAGGGAGGGTGGGAGGAGAGAGCAAAGGCCACACATTACTTGTCTCTTTAAAGATCCGCGCAGAGGCTGCTTTGATCCCAGAATAAAGTCCACATTCCTTATCATGGCCTAAGGCTTTTAGAGAGCTGGCTCCACACACCCTGTTTCTCCCTCCCTGGGCCTGACTCATTTCCATTTGCTGCCAAAAGAGTCACATTAGCCCTCCCCACTAAGCCCTACCCTCCTACAAGCCTCAAATCATAGGCTTCTCCTCCCAGGGCCCAGCTTGGCCTGGAAATGGCTTCAACAGAGCAATAGGGAGGGGCAGGAAATGCTCACTCTGGAGGTGTAGTAGATGCGAAGCACTGGGTTTCCGGACAGGTCGATCATCTTGTGACTCTCACTGCCTCGAACCACAGAGCTTGGAGAAAAGCAGGGGAAGCCATGAGTGGCCATTACCACTAATGCCCATCTAATGCTCCCACCAATGCCCACAGAGGCGGCACTGGGATTGCCCTGAGTGGTGAAGGGGAGAAGCTGCAGCCCAGCTGAAGACCATTTGCCCAAAGCCACAACTACCTGGCTGGGGGCAAAGATTCCGGCCACCTTCAAAAGCCCCAAGCTATTATCTATTTATACGTCTCCAGCCAGAGGGCTTTAGGGATGGCTTAATCCAACTGTAAAAAGACTAAAACATTCAAAAAGGATTTGCCCAGGGTCCTACAACAAAGCAGAGCTAAAAAGGAGACGCTTGAAGCCAGCCCAGACACCCTCCCACAGAGCCTCACCCTCCCCTTCTGCAAATGTCTACACCCGCAGACCCCTGAGGCAGACCTGTGGAGGTGCAGCCAGTGGCTGGCAACATCCAGGCTCATGCTGAGCTGGAAGAGAAGGGTGGCACGAGGGTAGAGCAGGGCCAGGTTGACGAGCAGACACATGGTGGAGCAACGGTCTGTCAGCATGTCCAGCATGGCCCCAAACCGCGTCCCTGAAAATGGAGACTGTTACCGTGGGAAGGGGCTGTGGACCACGGCAGGTGCCAAACTTGCATCACTCGGATGCAGTCTACAAGAAGCGGGATTGTCCACCAGGAAGGAAAAGAGGCTGCCAGCTGGTGTGAGGCCAGAGTCACTACGATAGGAAATGAGGCTGCACTGGAGCTTGAAGAGACTAAGGAAGTCACCACAACTATCGATTCCAGAGCCAAGGGTCCAGGTCAAGACAAGGAAACCTGAGGTCTAAGGAGAATGCTGGAGAAGGTGGGTCTGGAGAACAGAGCGAAAGATTAGCTAACCGCCCCCCCCCCCTCAAAACCTGTCTTCTGGAATCCTCACTGGTTAGCCTGGCTTGACAGCTGCGTCCCAGCAAAATGCCTGCTTCAGTTTATTCAGAGAGCCCTTGGGCCGTCCCGGATTGCTCCCCAACACCCTTCACCATCAGCTCGCACAGCGGCCAGCTGAAGCCCCTTCACCAACCAAACCCGGCCATTCTGTTCTGCTTTCTCCCAAGTACTGCCCACCCTGAGGAGGCAGGAAGGGGGAGAGGGTGGGTGGGCCCCAGGGCTGGCTGGAAGCAGGTGGTGTCTGTCACCTTGATTAAGGACCCGGGCAGCATGTCCATCGAAAGCGTCCAGGAGTCCGCTGAGCAGGTAGAAGGAGGAGGCCGTGAGAGGGCAGCAGGGCATGAAGTAGAAAGAAATGACGGCGAAGACAATCCGGGCATAACCTTGGGATGGACGCGGGGGGTCGTGAGCGTGTGGAGAGGCCGCGATGGATCAGGGCCTCCCCACGGCCCTTGCCCTCCCGACTGGCCCGGCGCCGCGGGCAGCACTCACCGATGAGGTTAGGCACAAACAGGAAAATATTTTCCTCTGCCATCGCGGCGGCCCCTCTGCCGCCCAGGGCCGCCCGGACCTAGAGGTGCCAGCGCAGTCCAAGACCCGCCGCGCGCGCTCACCCTCCGGCCCTGCGCATCCGCCGCGCCAACCGCGCACAGCACCCAGCTGCTCCGGGCCGGTCCCAGATACCGCAGCTCGCAGCCGGCCGGATCATGGGCCGACCCAGAGGTGCGCCGGCCGCGGGGGACGCGCACACCCCGCCCTTCCCACGGGCCAACCCCGGCCTGGGCGCGCCCAGCCGGCGCTCCCGCCCCCAGCTGCGGCTCCAGCTGTGCGGGCTCCCAGACGCCTACTGCCGGCACCCGCCCTTGCACGGTTGGAGAAGGGGAAGAGGCTTAAATATGGCTACGGCCCCTTTAAGACCCGCCTGCTTCCTTTTCCTTTCCTCTCCGCCCCTGTCATGCGGCTCGTACCAAAGCGCGGCGGGGGGGTGCAAAGACTCCTTGCGGCCGAGCAAAGGCAGGACTTGAACAGGAGCGGGCAAAAGAGAAGGGCGTCCTAGCGGATACTTCCCTTTCCTGTTTGTGGAGACTATGGTTACCTGGAGCTAGAGGTAAACAGAAGACGGTTCGCCCGCCCGAGCCCTTGCACCCCCGAGCAATGAAGTCACTTAGTACAGTCCACATCGGTGCTCCCCGCCCCTCTCGGTGGCTTTGCGCTCGCAGACTCCGGCCGCCGCGAGGGCTGCTAGAGAGGCTGCGGGGAGGCCGGGCGGGGCCGCTGCTCGCGCGTCCCTATCGGCGGGAGGACTGATTGCAGGCTCCGCCCGACGAAGCCCTCCCGAGTTACTCCGTGCGGGGGTCGTCGCCCCCTAGGAAGGGCCAGGGCGGGGCTGGAGCGGAGCCTGGGGGGCGAACGCCGCATTCAGGGAAAAGGCCGGTGTCCGGGTTCTGGAATGCCCGCTCTCCTGGCAACCGGGGTGCGGAGCCTCCTTAGACACCGAGGGTTTTATAGCAACGGTAGCGCGGCAGCTCCGGGTCACCCCTCTCTCCTGCCTTCCTTCCCACTTCCAACTACCCATCCCCGCCATCTATGCTGGGGGCTTCTTAAGACCTCCCCATCTCCTCTCCTGCCGCGTAGCCCAAGAGAGCAGCCTACCTGCCAGGTTGGGGAACAGCAAGGGGCTTCCCCACTTGCAGTGGGAGGGCACTGGGTGGGAAGGAGGAAAGAGGGACCCTTTGGGGGAAGGGGGCAAAGGGGGAAGGGGTTGCTGGTTGGTGTCCCCACCCCACTCCCCCAGCAAAATATAAATCACAGATTTTTCTTCTCCCAGAGAGTGAAGTAAGACAAAGAGATGGTTATCTAGAGCCCTCGGTTAAGTGTGCTTCGGGAAGGTGACGGGCTGGATTTGGGCCAACTGGACGGCTATCTCAGCCAAACTTACTCCAACTTTCCCCAGGGGGATGGCATCCACATCTACCAGGAACGAGGAGAAAAAGGGCGGCCGGTCACCCCAAGCTGCAGCCTCCTTGGGTGGATGTTCGGTGAGGCCTCGAGGGGACTTCTCCAAGTTGGGGAGTGTACTGAAGTGGGGTGTATTGGAGTGGAGCACCATCAGCCTGTGGCTTCTAGCCTCAGCCTAGCCCATGCCCTACGTAGTGGGGCTCCCTCACACTGCCCCCCATCCAACTCCAGGATCTTCTAGGCCATATCTCTGATATGCAGCCCTGAATACCAGGCACAAAGCCCCAGCGGGGGAGCTCCCAGAACCTGGACTCCAAAGTTGGGGCTTCCAGGCTGAGCCCCTCTGACTTCTTTTCCCAGAAGGTTTCGTTATCCCGTTCGGAGGAATTCCTGGCCCGGATCAGCACAGAACTCACCAATGAAGCCCTGTTTATCGCTGGCTACCACATGAACTCTATGCCCAAAAAGGACAAACAGACAGAAGACCGAGGGACTCAGATATCCAGACACGGTGACCCCCCACTTCAGGACCACTGTATCCAGAGACCCACCCATACTCGTAGTTCTAGACTCGGACCCCTGTAAACACAGTCGCCTCTTCAGGACTCTGTGCTCATCTCCCCCATCTCACAGTCAACCCCAGGATCCACACAGTGCCCACTAACCCAGCATCCACTTCTCATTGCTGCCCAGGAGCCCCTCGGTCCCTGTGCTCCCTCCCTAGCCACATCTCTGTCTGTGGGGACAGTCATTTCTCCGATCAGGGCTCTACTTCCAGTGTTCTTCATCAAGAATCAAGGCACTGACACCTGGTGAGTGAGACTTCAAGGGAGGTGTCCTGGTCCTCAGAGAACACCGAGGAGCTTATAGGGGAGAGACTGAGAGTTTAAACAGTGCCCAGCAGGGTCGGGGGATTTTTAGCCCACACAGTCCTATCCTGTTCTCCTCTGACCCTTGAATTCGGAGTTCTCAGCCCTCTCCTTTCCCTTTGGTTGTGTCTAGCTCCAATGGAAACTGCACCCGCACCAAGACTTAACTTCCTGCCATCCCCTGGGACAAGGTATGTCAGGGTCCTTGGATGTCAGGACCATTCAGTATCAACCAAGCATTTACAGTCCCTTTTTTCGGGTCTTAGACACAGAAGTAAATGGTACCATCTCTGCCCTTGAAGAGTTCATTGTTCAGTGTGAGTTGGTGAAATACATGGCCAGTTACAATATGAATAAGTTAGTGCCCTTGATAGAAATGGGGAAAGTGAGAAGAGCACATCCCATCAGTTGGGATGGAAGGAAAGAAATCATGGAGCTTCCTGGAGGTGACACCCAAAGAAAGAATTTTCTAGGGAAAAAAAAAAAAAAAGAAGCAGTTGGTGGAGTATCCTGAGTGGCAGGACTTTGTGAGGCAAAGCGCAGAGGTGAGTCTCAGTAACTGAGCGTGAGCGTATCTCTTTGTGTGTTCTTGGGGCAGAGGGGAAGGGCACCACAGGTTTCGTTGTTGGTGTCTGCAGGCAAGGTAGCCAGAGACTAATCAAAAGACCTTGTGTGTGTTGAGTCGTAGACATATCCTTGTAGGCAAGGAGCATTGAAGCATTTTGAGTAAGGGAGATTGGAATTTTAGATTGGTTACTCTGGAGGTCAGGGGAAAGCCTGGAGCCAGGGAACATTTAGGAATTATTTCAAGGGACTGGGCTTGGGCTAGAGAGGATTAGGTTCTAAATAGTCTCAGCAGTAGTAGACAGATTGGAGACCTGAAGATCAGAGAGAAGACTGAATTTGGTAACTGATCTGGCTTCTGGCTTGCTAACAGTCTGAAGAAGTCATGGTTCTGTTCAGTTTCCCCTTTCATAGTAGAATTCAAAATCCTCCAGTGGGCTTTCAAAGTCCTACGCCACCTCTCCCCTCCCCCACCCCCTTTTCTCTCTGACCTCATTGTCTGGAATGGCTCCTCTTGGCCCCTGCCTCCCTCAGCTGTGCCAGCCTCCTCATTCTTTCTGGAGTTCAGCAGACACGTGCTGGTCTTTGGACATTTGTTGGATTTGAGACGCCTGTGGGAACCCAGGTTGAACTAACCCTGGGTTAAACAGTCGGAAGTACCACTTCCGAACTCACTGGAGAGGTCTGGGCTGGTGACTGATATCTGATCTAGGTGGAGACTGGCAGGTGAAGGGGGTTTTTCCTGGGGGTGGGATTCCTTGCTGGTTTTGGGGGGGCAGATTGTGCAGAGTGAGAACAAAGAGGCCTCTGAAAATGGAGTTCTGAGAGCTGCTTCATGTAATGGATTGCCAGAGAGAGAGAGAGAAGGGATCGTGAAGAAGAGCAAGAAGGAACTGACAGCCAGCATGTTTCTGAAGTGTCTGCTAGGTGCCAGGGCCACCCTGCTTTGGGGATGGTCATTTCTCTGACTGGAGCTGCTACTTCAAGTTCATGACCAACGCTAGAAGCAAAATACAGTGAGGACAAGCCATTATTCTTGTCTTCTCTTGTTGCCTTTGGGCCACTGATCTCTCCCCGTTGGGCTTTGGTATTGAAAGTAGCTTGAAGCAGCAGCACTGCCCTGGGCTTTAATGGCTAATGTGCGTTCACCTGATAGCCTTGTGCAAGTTGCTTTCTTTTCCCTATGTGTCAAATGGGGGGGCCTTGGACAAGATGCCCTTGGAGGCTCCTACTTCCCTGTAAAGAGGTTTCCATCTCTTTCCCAAATGGCACTTGAGTGAAGATTTCACCATGAGCCAACACCTTCCTCTCACCCACCTGCCAGGCTCACATGATCCCAAGAGATTTCTCCTTCATCCTCAAGAAAGAACAGAGAAGCCTACAGATCTCTGAATTGCCACTTGACTTGTAGGGCATCGCAGGTGGTCAGAAATGTTGGGGTGGTTGGATGAGTGGGTGGGGGGTATAAGTAGGTGAGTAGATAAATTCATCCAGCATTCATTAAGGACTTACTACGTGTGGCCCTACCCTCAGGACTGGACAATAAAAGTGGGCATAGTAGAGTCCCTCTTTGGGGGTGGGGGTGAGTGATCTGCTGGAAAAGAGATGAGTGGGTGGGTAGATGGACAGACGAGTGGAGAGAGAAATAGATGGAGAATGGCAGGGAGAGGTGTGGGTTAGGCGCGCGGGCGGTGGAGTGGATCCATGGGTGAATCACTAAGTGGGCAGTGGAAGGTACGTAGATGGGTGGGGTGAGGACTGGGTGGAGGGGTGAGGGTGGAATAGAAACACAGGCACCTTCGGTCTTAAGAGTCAAAGCTCTTACTGTCTCGTAGGGAGCGCTGTCTGACAGCTTGGCGTCCGGAAGATGATCCCACCCCTGCTGGGTGCTGCTCTTGGCCTCATGTTCTCCCCTGTCCTGTGCCTCTGAACATGCCTTCAAGTTCCTTTTCCACAATTCAGTAAACACTTCGGTGTGGAGAAAACTTGCGAACATCATCTCTGGAGCCTCCAAAGTGTTCTGGACCATCGTGTACCTCTCCGCCCTCAGCTGGCCAGGAAACAAAGGCTTTAATAAAGAGAGACCTTCCCCTCTCCCCAGCCAGGCAGTGCTCAGTGTGGTTTCTCTAAAATGGAGAAATGGGGGAGGAGTAGCCCCCCTTCCTTACTTGCCAGATGTTATTGGAACACCTTCAGTCGGGTTACCTGTCAGCCCGTTGGCAGAGATGAGCTCGTGGATCCAAATCCAAATTCCAGATTCCATCACCGTAAGGTCCAGGCCTTGGACACCTAAGAGGGTCCACCCATGCAGCCTCTACCACCCTCAGCGCTGGGGTCTCCCCTTTGTGCCTTGGGTCCGTGGGAACATGTCACCCCTCTTTCTAGCCAGAAGATGGCGCAGTAGGCTCTGTGGAGTTTGCATTTAAATGCCAATCTGGCCACTCACTGCACCTCCTGAGGAAGCCAGTTCACCTCTCCAAGCCTCAATTTCCGAATCTGAAGAATGGGAACAACTGTCCCTGTCTCACAGGACCCTGGTGAGAGTTAGGGACACAGCACACGAGTGCCCAGCACCGGGCAGTGCCTGGGACGAGTGCCCCAAACCTAGCAATCACTGAGATCAGTCGGCTTCACAGTCTCCTAAAATTCAACCCCGTTTGAGTGTTTCAGTATCCTTTCAAGTCTCTTAAAGAAGTTCACCTGTATTTAAATATAAAAAAATTTAACTAGGCAAAATACAGTTAATTTGGAGACTCTTTAGACCAACAGGCTATAATCCATTATAATGTTTTTAAATCAAAAAGTAGAAAGGAGCACCCACAGGATACAAAACAAGCTCTTTCTTTATGAAATGCCAGTAACATCTGGTAGACATACAGCAGCAAGTGTGCTTAAAATGCCAAAGGCGGGAAAGAGGAGGAATGGTACATTTGGGTGGCTATTAAAAGTCTCTAAAGGGGGGTGAATTTTAGTGTACTGGTCATGACATAAATTGAGAACTGTTTGCCTTCTGCCAAATGGGAAAGATAAATAGCTTCTGTCAGCTGTCTTGTGGCTGGAAGAACCTAGAAACATCCAGCCCTGAGGGAGAGACAACTGGGGTTTGGAGGGGCTTGTCCAGGGGCTGAACTTAAATTCAAGCCCCAGGCTAAGCCCCCTTGACAGTGTCCTGGGCCCAGGCTTGAATTTCCTTCTCCCTCCCCCCAAGTGATTCCACTCCCCCCCCAACCCTCTATTCAAAGACAGCACCATCAGGGTTTCCAATGCCCTGTGACCCTCTTTCCCACACCCCACCAGCCCAGTTACAAATGGTGATTTTCTGTTTATTGCTCAAAAAAAAAAAAAAATCCAGAAGCAAAGGTAGGGAGACTGTGGGTTGGGGAGATGACAGGAAGGGGGAGGGGCCTGACCCAGCTGCCCCTTCTTTCCTCTTCCGATGCTCCAGGACCCCTGGTCAGGCCCAGGGTAAGAACATCTGAAAGGGCAGAGCCCTCATGGCCAAGGGGACAGGGGCTTTCTGGAGCAGTCTCTGGGGGGGTAGTATAGGCTAGAGGGGTCCCAAATATGTCTGGGGAGCTGAGTTCCCTTCCCAGGGTCCAAAAGCCAGTGGGAGGAGAGAGCAGGCCCCTTGTTTGGCAACTGAGAAGAGGAGGCTTTGGGCGGCAGGATGCTGGTTTATTCACTGTGGGGCCCTGAGGGCTATCAAAGCCCCCTCGTGGGACCAGGAGACTATTTACACGCAGGGAGGAAAGGAGCCAGAGGCCAGGTCCTGGACCCCTCCCTGCCCAGGAGGAGGCAGGGAGGGGCATTCTGGGTCCTGAAGCCTTAGTCTTGGGGTTCAGATGGAAACTTCATACTCCCGTGTATCCTGGAGACAGAGAGATAGGGTCAGTTGCAGAAGGGGCAGAAGAGGCAGCAAAATGGAAGGAGGCATCACAAGAGGGGAAAGTCTGGGTTTCTAAAGTATCATTGATCACTCGGGGCTTAGGGGGTGACACAGTAGGAATCGGGCGGAACCTGGCCAATGGATATGTTTAGTTCATCCTCTAGTATCTTAAAATCACATAAAAATGTGAATGCCTGGACCACCTTGCCAACTGGCAGTGGGGCCTGAGAGGACCAGATGGGACACGATGCGTTGTCCAGTCAGCCACGGTCCTCACCGCTCCCCATAGTTTACACGTGGCTTGACTTGTTCATTGACACGGTCTTTGTCAGTGAGTTTGAAATTCCAAAGACAGAGAGCACAGTCATTGAGAGAGGTCAGAGAGTCCCTAGGGAGCAGCGGTGTGGCTGCAGGACTCACCCCAGCTTCATACAGTGGATTGCTGAAGTCTGACTCCACAGTGATGGGGCTGTAGGAATGCGAGCCCGAGAAGCCGAAAAGCGATTTCCCCTGCAGCCTGGGAAAGGGACAAGCAGGGGGCTCGTGGGGAAGTGAGCTTCCCAGTGAACCGCACCCGAGCCCCGGTGCCAGGCAGACATCCGCCAGCCAGCAGCAACCCGAGTGGGGGACTTACTTGGTGTAGTAGATGTAAACGCCACTGCCAAGGACAATGACCAAGCCGAGGGGCAGCAGAATGGCCAAGGCGAGGTTCCCACCCTCCAGCTGCCGTGACGGGTCTGTGGTCTGGGTCACTGGGAGGAGGAGCAGAGGCCAGTGAACTGGGGCTGGGCCCAGCCCTGCGCTCTCCGCCTCCTGCCCTGGACCCTGCACCCTGGGTCTCTCGGCCCTCCGGGCCTGGCCTTCTGCCGCCGGCCTCTGACTTGCCCTCCCGACTCAGCCAGGCCTGGGTCTCCACCTGTGCCCTCACTGACCTTCCAGTTTTCGGTTGTCCAGGAGCTCCTCATAGGCCACTGCAGGGAGAGGAGGGGGAGGGGCGGGGTCTGAGCCAGGGAGGGAAGGAGGCTGGGTAGAGGGCAAGGAGCCCAATGGGGCTGGGCCGGACGGCTGCGACTTTTACCCCTCTGCTCCACCTAAACACCATCCTTCCCTTGGTGCGAGTGGGGGAGGATTAGCGGGAGGGCCATCTTCCTCCTCCAGACCCCTAAAATGTCAGGGTTCCTGGGCGATCTAATTAAAATAGGATTTGTGCCCAGGGCAAGGGACTTTCAAATCAAAGTCTCCTCTGCTACTTTCCTTAGGATATTTGCATGACCTTGAACTTCCCCAGGACTTCTGGATGTACCCAGGAGGACCAGAGCCCACAAGACGGGGGTGGGGAGCTCACCAGGCTACTACTGCTCTCAGAACTTGCTACCCCACTCGCCCCTGACCCTGCAGGGCCCCTGACTGCCCTGTCGGCCCAGGCACCTTTGCAGAGTGGGGGCTGGCTGGTCCAAAGTGAGGGGTGGCCGGGCACACAGGTGATGGTGACCTCGCCGATGAGCTCAAAGCCCTCGTAGCAGAAGAAGCGCAGAGACTCGCCCGCCTGATAGTGATGCTTGTACAGCGTCTGGTAGCCATTTTCCGGCACCCCGGGGTTCAGGCACGGCTCATACTTCACTGCAAGGATCATGTCTGTCACATGCTAGCTGTGCCCCGCCCCCAGCCACCCTTCGGGGTGTCCCCAGACTCACAGGCGCACTTGGGGACCCGGTCGCTCCACTTGGGCGTGCCTGTGTCCCGGCTGTAGCAGGTGAGCACGGCGGCCCCCTCCAGGCTGTACCCCGGCAGGCAGCGGTACTGTACGTGGGAGCCGACAGGGAAGCCAGCGTCCGAGGCAGTTCGGTGCCCGTTGGTGATCTCACCAGGGTCAGCACAAGTCATGACTGTCGGCAGAGGCCAAGGTTGATAGGCGCTAGGCCTTCAAAGAGCCCCGGAAGCTTAGGGCCAGGAGGCCTGAGCCTTGGGGTCATCTCCTCTGAGGATACCCTTGACCTCCTACTAGCTCAGGCATTTAAAAAAAAACCTTAAAATTTAGTGCGCTTTAGATTTCAGGATTCTTCTGGGAAACAGCAATTAAGGCGACCAGGTATCCATCCGAGGGGAGCTACCCGCAGTACCGGAACATAGCCAGTCCCCACGGGCCAGCCCTGCTGTCCTCTCTAGAGGGGCCCAGCCTTCACGCCCCATGTTCCCAGCCCTTTCGCTCACTTATATTACCTGGAACCCTACAGACATTCAAGTTCACAGCCTCATTGTGGAAAAGCCACAACCTGAGCTTTCTTTTGCCCAGACCTGAGCCAGACACTCTGCTAGTGTGTTCCAAACACGATCCTTTCACCCGTGATCCCCAGAGGCGAATGTCACTGGCCTCGCCTTTGAGGCCCAGGGCGCAAGTGAAATAACTGACCCCTGGTCACTCAGCCAGGGAGTAGCCGAGCTGGTACTGGTCAGGGTCACGGGTGTGGAGCACTGGGCTGGGGTTGAGGTTTGGGTCTCGGTTCAGCTTCAGGTTTGCCCTGGGCAGGGTCCCTCCTGACTTTCGGGCTGCAGGGCCCAGTCCCATCCCTGCTGGGCCCACCTCTATCCCTTTTCTTCCTGCCTCTGTCCTGCTGGGTCCCGAACATGCTGAGATCCTCCCAGGGATAGTGGTGCTAACAGGAAGGCTTCCTGTGTCCACCCCAAACCTGCTTTCCTGAAATATCAATAGACCTCCCCATTGGTCCCACCATTGCCCCTGTGGCAGACTTCCCCCCTAATTTTTAAAAATATTTATTTTAATACATATATATATATTATGCATCAAGGACTAGGGTACAGGCCAGAGGTGGGGTGTGTGTGAGAGGGGAGCAGAATAGGCAGATGACTGAAATACACTGCTGAGCCATGTGGGTCACCTCCCTGGCCAGCTGGGGAATCGAACTCATACTGCAGTGGGTGATAATAGCTTCATAGTGCTGTCTTTAACCCCTGCGCCACCAGCAAGGCCCCAGACTTCCAAAAATTTGGAGAAAGTGACAAGATGCCACCTCTTTCTGCTCTAAAGGGCAAACACTTACAGCTCCTTTAACACTTACATCCCTGAACTCTCCTGCCCCATGCCTGGGGCAGTTACCCACCCTGCTTCCCAGAGCCCTTCAGCTCTGCAGCAGCTACTGCCTCCTCACGGTTCACACACACCAGGCATCTGCTCCCATAGGCCCT